CGCAATTGGCCCCCGTCGATCTCCGTGCCCAGCGCTACTGCCTTGTCCGGCACCAGCTCGTCTTTGTGCAGCAGTAGGCTCAGCTTGGTGAACTCGCCTGTCAGCTGGTTCATCACGCCGCTCACGAGTTCAGAGAAGAGCGAGAAGACCCCCAAGTTATCAACATGCACGTAGTGCCTGACTTCCTGGGACGCTCTGCCTGGCGCGAACACGAGCGGTGGCCCATGGTCTGAGAGACCGGGCCCCCGAAGGAGCGCGCTGCTGCGGCGGCTCACCTCCTCGTTGGCCCGCTGGGCGAAGTAGAGGGACCAGCTGAAGCCCGTGGGCAGCACCTGCCAGCAAGGGTAGATGGCCGTCGACGTCTGCACCTTGGTCCCCTCGACCTCGGTCACGCCGAAAGCCCCAGCCATGACCGGCGGCAGGCAGAAGTACTGCGAGAGGGCCGAATCAATACGCATCCTATGAAAGCAGTCCTTCACGTCCGCCATGCCGATGTACACCTGCTGCGCCTCCAGCGCGGCGCGGAGGTCCTCGTAATTCGAGAAGCCCGCGTCTGGCACGTGCACCTCGATTCTGGCAAGGCCCTCGCTGCTCAAAAGCTCCACCCCAGGAGGGTCCTTGAAGTGGGCGTTCGTACGGCGGGCGTCGACTATGAGGCGAAGTCGGCGCCGCCCATCCTTCCACACGAAAAACATCCCAATTCTCTCTTTCGGTGTTAGAGTCCATCCCAGAATGCCAGCCGACAGCAGCCGGCGCACCAGGCCGCGGTACTCCTTGTGGTTGAACTTGAGGACCGAGTCGAAGTATGGCTCGACGTCAGTCGGCAAGGGTGATTCTCGCAACATGCGCTCATGGCGCTCCTGCAGGAAAGTAAGGGCCTCGCCAGGCAAGAGGTCCTCTAGACGCGGGCAGTCGCTCACGTCCATCGGCATGCTGACGAGCCCTGCACTGTAGGAGGCGACCGTCGTCGGGCCACTGCGCCCGTCGCATGGCGAGCGGCCCCGCAGCAGCTCCCGGAGGGCCGCCTGCGGATCCTGCAACTTGGCGTCCGGCTGCCGGCCCCGAACGAGGCCCTCGAAGCGCGCAAGTACATCCCGCTGCATGTCATTGGCTGGGCCAGGAAGCGAGTCGTACCCCGACGTCCAGTTAACGGCATCGACGATACCGTTGACCTCCGCCGCAATCCGACTCTCTCGGCCGAACTGCCTCGCCCTGCAAGACCTGCCGCGAATTCGGCGGCCAGCGTCGCCCAGCAGCGGGGGCGGCAGGAAGCTGCGGGCTCCACGCGAGGGCGGCAGGCGGCCGCCGTCGTGCCCCGGCAAAAAGGGCTCGGGGGAGGGGCTGGTCCCCCCGGGCCCGGGGGCCGTCATGGCCCCGCGGAGGCGACGCCCCTGGCCCGGCCGCGCCCGCGGCCGCCTCGGCCGCCACCACGCCCCGCACCTGCTGCGTCGCCTCCAGCTCCTTCTGCTCCGCCGACGGTCCTAGTAGGCACCCCGCGTAGCGTACCTGCCCGATTCTGCGCCTGCTCCACCTCGTACGTCTTCTGCGCCCCCTGGTGGATGTAGCCCCTGAGCTCTGACCCCGAGACGTCCTTCTCCGAGCTCACGTCCGCGAAGATGTCCGCGTTCGTCCAGCTCGGCTTGAGCAGGTCTCCGTAGGCCTCCAGCGTGGCGGACCCGCGGTGAGTCATCTTCCCCACCATCACTGCAGGCCGCTCATGTTCAGCTGGACACGTAATAAGCCCTGGTACCAGGCCTCCACGATCGTCCTCAGCTTCTGCACCACCCAGTCATTCTCCCCACGGCCCCTCACGCATACGGTGAGGTCGGGCTCGAGCCGCAGGTCGCCTCCGTGCCTCACCATGTGCTCGCGCATGTGGAGAGCCCCCGGCGGTCTGCCCACCCGTGCGTCTGGGCGGCGCCCCTGCCTCGACTCGCCTACCACGTCTCGCCATCGTCTGTCCCGTCCGCCCTGCTCGTCGTAGAAGACCCAGAGCGTGCGGGCGAGGGCGTCACGTTGCTCGCCCTGCGGCCCCGCCAGCAGCGGCTGCGCCAGCTCTGGCATAGCTGGGCCGCGTGGGGGCCCGGCGGGCTCCTCATCCTCGAGCGGCGCCGCGGCCGCAGTGCGTCGGCGCTCGGGGCCCTTGGCACGCGCCTGGCTCCTGCTTGGGCCATGCCTGAAAGCCTCCTCCTCTGCCAGGCGCCCAGCGTCCGACCCCGCGTCCAGCCGGCCGAGTCGCCCCGTGCCACCGTCGGCGGACCTCAACACACCGAACGCCTCAGGCCCGTCCTCGAAGCTCAGGCCTCCAGTCTTCGCCACGTCGACCTCCGCCCCGATCTCATCGTCGGGCACGCCACTGCGGCCGACCCAGGCGTCACCCCCAGCAGGAGCCTTCAGCGGCGCCCCCGCCCGGCGAGCCACGGCCATGCTCGGGTACAGCAGGCCCCTCCGCTCCGCGGCCAGCCGCCTACCAGCGTCCTCCTGCCACGAGACCCGCTGGCCGCTCACGGCCCCGGCCTCCCTCGGCTCAGGCGACGCCGCTTCTTCCTCCAGCGCCGCCTGACGGCCCCGCGTCAACGTCTTGGCCCGATTCTCAGGCCCCAGCGCCTCCTCGAAGCGATACAGCCTCCGCATCCTGCCCATCCGCTGCGCCAGCGGGATGGGTCGGGCAGGCCAGGTCTCGGCCCTGCCGCAGCTCATGTCCTCCACGTAGATGTCAACCTCTGGGGACAGGATGACCCGTCCGCCCTCTGCCACGTAGTGCAGCTGCACCCATACGTCATCGACGTCGTCGCCGGCGAATCGGCAGACCCCAGGCTCCACTGAGAGCGCTCTAGTCCACCACCTCCGCCCCACGACGCTGAGGAGCCACCACACGAGCGTCGTCATGCCTGCGACCAGGAACTCCCACCAGCCAGTGCACCAGGCCTCCGGGCAGCACCCCAGTGGGCCTCCCAGCCGCCCTCTCGCCCGGCGTCGCCGCCGGCCGCCTCGCAGGCCGGGCGGGTCGCACCCGGCGGCGGCTCGCAGGCCGGGCAAGCCGCGCGGGGAGGCGGCTCGCAAGCCGGGCAGGCCGCGGCCTCTGGGCCAGCCGCCGCCTCTGGACACGCAGGACAGGCCGGGCACGAGGGTCAGGGCAGGCCGCCCGCGTCGGGCCCTCCTCTGCTCCAACGTAGGCCGCGGCCTCCAGCGCCACTACCACCCAGGCCAGCGGCGCGGCCGCCCCTCAGGGATGGCGCCCATCCATCGACTCTGGACCAGAGAAGCTAGGCGATGCAAGAAGGAGCGGAGCCAAAGGGGCGACATAATGAAAACCCCTCTTGACTTCCTTCACGTGCAAGCACAAACCATGGCCTTCTCGCCTTTTCGGCTTTCCGACACTCCAAGACGGCCCAAGAGGCCCCCAAGAGGCCCCCAAGAGCGCCCCAAGAGGCCTACAAGAGGGCCCCAAGACGGCCCAAGAAGGCCCCAGGACAGCCTAAGAGGCGCCCAAAACGGCCCAATAGGGCCCCAAGACGGGCCCAAGAAATGGCCAAGAGGGGGACGAGGAACCGAGAATTCGAGACTTCCGCCCTAAGAGGCCCCCGGGAAGCCCCAAGAGGCCCCCAAAAGGCCCCAAGAGGCCCCCGAGCGGCGCCAAGACGCCCCCAAGATGCGCCGAAGACGGCCTCCGGAAGCCCCAAGAGGCCCAAAAGAGGCCCCAAGAGGCCCCACAACGGCCCCCAAGAGGCTTCAAGTTGCCTTCCAGACGCCCCCGAGAGGTCAACCACGAGATCCCAACCAACATCCATAAGGCCTCCTCCTCCTCCCCCTTCACCCTTCCTCCTCCTACTCCCTTCCGCCTCCTCCTCCTCCTGCCCCCCCCCTCGTGTTGTCTTTCGTCATCTTCAGGGTCGGCGGCAACGGCCGTAAGGCCTTCGCAATAAAAAGAAACATGCAATGGGAGCCGCCCGGGAGCCGCTTCACTCGAAAAATACAGAAAGGAGAACGGGCCAGTTGACCTTTCTCTTCGGTCTTGCCCCCTCCCCCGTCACCTGGCTCTGCGTGAAGCCAGGCAGCTGCGTGAAGCCTTGCAGCTGCGTTCCAGACGTCAGCGAGTTGCGACGCAAGCTCGTCAGATCCGACGGCGCATGCGATGCCGAGCTGGTCGGGGCTCTTTTGGAACTCTTTGGGACTTCTTGGGGAACTCGTAAAGCCTCCTGGGGGTCTCCTGCGGCGAAGATCTCGGGTTCTCGGTTCACGTCCCCGATCCTGGGCCGCGGTCGGGGCCCCCCCGGGCCGTCTTGGACGTCTCCTCGGCGCCTTTGAAGCCTATTGGGCCGTCTTGGGGTGCTTTGAAGCCTTTTGTTCGGTTCCCGTTTCGGGGGTTCGTCCGGTAGAAGATCTGAAGTTCGTTCTGGAGTTCATGGGTTTCCTGTAGTTTCCGTCTTGTGGCGATCCTCGGAGCCTCACGGAGCGTTTTCCAGCGTCGGGAGGCGGAACATGCGGAAACGCCAAATTTGTTCAAGAACCTATGGAACATACATGTGTGTGTGTGTGTGTGTGTTGGCGTCTTCGAGCTCTATTGGGAGACCTCTTGGAAGCCTCTTGGGTATCTTGGGGGCCTCTTGGGCCGTCTGGAGGCCGACTTGGGGCCTCTTGGAGCCTCTTTTGGGCTTCTTGGGGGCCTCTTGCGGCCTCTTGGGGGCCTCTTGGGGCTTCCTGGGGGCTTCCTGGGGGCCTCTTGGGGCATCTTGGCAGCATCTTGGGGGCCTCTGAGGCCGTCTTTGTGCCATCGTCGCCCCTCGTGGAGCGCTCTTGGGCCATTGCGACTGTAGCAGCAGAAGGACAGGAGATATTTTCCGCTTGAGCCAAAATGCGAACAACAGCACACAAAGACCACAATCCCTGGGCTGAACCCATCGTTGAAAACCAGGAGATCTCGCACAATGTGCATGTGCACGGATATCGGCGTTTCGACATTGGGCAGAACGGGGGGGGGAGGGTCGGGAGGGGTCTGGCTCCAGACCTCGGCTGGTGAGCGTTTTCTTATTCGGCGTTTCAACATTGGGCGGAAGGAGGGCAGTGAGTCCCAGGGGGGAGGCCCGACCCTGTCGCAACAGGCGCCCAAAAACGGCCAGCCAAGATCCACTCAGTGAATCTACTCCATGAGGACTCCATGGGGGGGCGGGGCGCGAGGGCCCGCGCCGATCGGCAGAGCAAGCAAGCAAGAGACTGCGTGCACAAAAACGGCACCACAACGACAGCGACAGATGATCTCTCGTGTGCGGTGCAAATCGGAGGAGCTCATACCTTGGTTTAGTCCAGGTTTGCGCGATCCCCCTAACCCTCCGCACATTCACTAAATGACGACAGATAGGCAGTGTCCTCGTCAGGCCTCAAGCAAACGCGAAAAAAACACGGGCACCGACACATACTCCACCTGCTCCCCGGCGGGGAATTGGAGGAGGGGTGGGAAGAGGAGAGAAGGGGTAAGACTCCGTGCACACAGCGATTCAGCGATTCGCACGCTGCCAAAATTAGCAGCGGCCGTCAGGGCGCGAGATGACTCGACGCACGGCATGCGCGCGCCTGACGGCACTCCTTCGATGCCAAGGCGCCCAGCGCCCTTCTCGGCGCTTCTCGGCGAGAGAGGCGAGGGCCTCAGGCGTCCGCCTTTCTTGCAGCAGCGCTCTGCTGCAATCTTCAGAGAGCTCCTTCTTCGGCTGCGGCGGCCACAGACTGTAGGCGGTGAAGGCCGCCATGTTCCCCGACACGCCCGCGCACATCAGGTACTTCCAGCCTACCAGCGGTGGCCTCCAGACTTCCAGATACCCATGAGCAGGACCAGGGCGATGGCCGCCACCTTTTGAAGTTTGCGGCAAACGACGCGAAGAACGGTGAGAGGCCCCTGACAATGTTGTACAGCAGGAGGTTGTAGCCGAGGGCCCAGATGCCGGACAGTATCACCAGCACCACAGTGCCAGGGCTCAGCTGGGCGATCTCCACGAGCACGCTGAAATTCGTGGCCATCTCGTGCACAGGATAAGACACGGAGTGCTTGATCAACCAGATGGGCAACAACAGAAGCACGACGATTGGAATGGCCATGTAAATGAGCGTGTCGATAGAGTTCAGCTTGAACCCCTTGCCAAGAATCACCACTACGATGAGCTCCAGGGAGGAGAACAGGAGCGAGCCGATGCACAGGCAAAGACCCAGCGTGTCGCTGCCGCCGCCGCCGTCGTTGATCTGGGCCGCCGTCCTCTTCCAGGCGCTCTTGGAGATGACCACCAGCGCCGCGCAGATGACGCCGAGTAGCACCATGCCCACCTTCGCAGGAAAGCACAGCTGCAGGAGGAGAGACATCAGCGGGCTCGTGGAGCGGACCAGAACGTTAACGGACACGTCCAGGAGCGAGAGGCTGAAGTTGTTGAGGGCTATGTTCAGGGTGAAACACACTGCGAGGGCCATCACCGCGAAGGCCTGGTCCTTGCTGACGATGGTGTGCGGCCTGTAGGCCCACGGCGTCAGCTGGGACACGAGGATCGCCAGCGCGAGGAAAAGGAAGCCCACGAGCTGCTGCATGGCCGTCAGCACTAGAAGCGCCTGGAAGCTCCGCATGTTGAGCTCCTGGGAGACCGTGTGGATGTCCTCCATCGCCTTCATGTACAACAAGTTCATGAAGTTCTGGGCCCCGACGAACAGGAGCAGCTGCGCCAGGGTCTGGCATCTGGGCAAGATGACGAAGACGCCGCCGCCGAGCACCAGCGCCAACCAAGACATCCCGAGCTGCGTGCACAGATCCGCGGTTCCTATGCAGGCCGGCTCCTCGATCGCGGTGGTGCCAAAAAGCATTCCTCCGCTCTCCAGCACCTCGACGCTCACGTGCACCTTCGACCATCGCCCACTATGAGGCGCCTGGTCTCTGGGCCTCCGGAGATGCCCGCCCTCCCCTTTTGGGTCCATGACGGCAGAGCTGCCTGCCACGGCGAGCAGCCAGCAGCAGCGCGCGGCCGACATGGCTACTAAAACTCAAGGATGCAATATGGGACTCAACTTCGAATACTGTCGGCTGATGTGAGGCGCTGGTGTCAACCTTGAGCCAAAATGGCTACGGCGTTCAGGGCCCTCTCGGGCCGTCTTGGACGTCTCTGCGGCGCTTTTGAAGCCTATTGGGCCGTCTTGGGGCGATCCTCGGAGCCGCACGGAGCGTTCTGCAGCGTCGGGAAGCGGAACAGGCGGAAACGTCAAAATTGTTCAAAAACCCGTGGAACATACATGTGTTTGGGCATCTTCGAGCTCTGTTGGGAGACCTCTTGGAAGCCTCTTGGGCATCTTGGGGGCCTCTTGGGCCGTCTGGAGACCGTCTTGGGGCCTCTTGGAGCCTTTTGGGGGCTTCTTGGGAGCCTATTGGGGCCTCTTGGGGGCCTTCCTGGGGGCCTCTTGGGGGCATCTTGGGGCGGAGAGCTTGATTGTTCAGTTCGCGCTCCCTCCCTTGGGCCCCTCTTGGGGCCTTCGTGGGACCCTCTTGCGCAGTTTTGGGCGACTCTGGGGCCGTCTCGGGTCTCTCTTGGGCCGTCTCGGGGCCCTCTTGGGCGCCTCTTTGGCCGTCTTCGAGCGGTTTTAGGAGCCCTTTGGGCGGTGCCTTAGTGCGGGAAACACGAAACAGCGAGAATGCAAAAAACATGACAAAACAAACCAATGAAAATCAACGAGTTTGCCCTCTCGGAGCGCTGTTGGGTGGCATCTTTACGTCGTCATCATCATCATCATCATCATCATCATCACCACCACCACCACCACCACCACCACCACCACCACCACCACCACATCATCATCATCATCATCATCATCATCATCATCATCATCATCATCATCATCATCATCATCATCATCATCATCATCATCATCATCATCATCATCATCATCATCATCATCATCATCATCATCATCATCATCATCATCATCATCATCATCATCATCATCATCATCATCATCATCATCATCATCATCATCATCATCATCATCATCATCATCATCATCATCATCATCATCATCATCATCGTCAGCAGCAGCATCAGCATCATCATCACCGAAGGACCCAGAAGCGCAGTGCGCATGCGGAGCCTTCGCCCAGTGCAGTATTTCGTGGCCCCATAGGGAGCTCCACCGAAGGTCCCAATGGCGGAACTCGCATGCGGTCCCTGTGCCCGGTACAGCGTTGCGTGGCCCCATAGAGAGCTCCACCGAAGGTCCCAGTGCCGCAGTCCGCATGCGGTTCCTGCGCCCAGTACAGCGCTTCGTGGCCGCATGCGGAGCTCCACCGAAGGTCCCAGTGGCGGAACTCGCATGCGGTTCCTGCGCCCAGCACAGCGCTTCGTGGCCCAGCAGGGAGCTCAACCGAAGGTCCCAGTGGCGCAGTCCGCATGCGGTTTTTGCGCCCAGTACAGCGCTTCGTGGGCCCACAAGGAGTTCCACCGAAGGTCTCATTGGCGGAGCTCGCATGTGGTGCCTGCGCTCAGTGCGTGGTTTCGTAGCCCCATGGGGATCTCCACCGAAGGTCCCAGTTGCGCAATCTGCACGCGCTTCCTGCGCCCAGTACAGCGTTGCGTGGCCCAATAGGGAGCTCACTCGAAGGTCCCAGTGGCGCAGTGCGCATACGGATCCTGCGCCCAGTACAGCGTTTCGTGGCCCCAGAGGGAGCTCCACCGAAGGCCTCAACGACGGAACTCGCATGCGGTTCCTGCGCCCAATACAGCGTTTCGTGCCCCCAGAGGGAGCTCCACGGAAGACGATACCCACAACTTCGGTACTCTCAGGTTCTTCGTCAGGCTGATTACACAGGGTTCATGAGAAAAGGTGTTCGCTTCGTTTGTGTTCCAAAATGTTGCCCCCGCTAAAACGCTGGCCTCAGGTTCGGGTTTCCGCTCGTTGCGAATCGCGTTCCCGCTGCAACGCGGGCCTCATTTCCGCGCTTCCGCTCGTTCCGAATCGTGCTCCCGCTGCAGGGCTGGACTCATTTCCGCGCTTCCGCTCGTTCCGAGTCGTGCTCCCGCTGCAGCGCTGGCGTCATTATTTCCAGTGCAATGCCACTTTCCAGTGCCATGCCACGGCATGTTTTTCGGTCCTTCCAAATTCGGGGAGACGTACGACTCGGGTACGGGGGACTCGGATTGGCCTGACGGGGGCTATCATAAGAATGACGAGACCCAGTCTGAAATTTGACGCGGGCTCCCGCTGCAGACATCCCACGAAAACGAGACCGTCAAAATCCAGGACGCGCTCGTCAAAAAAAAGCAAGCCCGAATTCCGGCATACTCGAGTCTTACGTTTCCCCGACAAATAGGACCGAACATGCAGAAAATGCCCCCCCCCCCCAACAAAAACATCGGAATTTATTGCATGTTCGGCGTCGATTCGTCGATTCTGAGGGCCGCAGAAGCCCCCCCACCCACTTTGTGGCGTCGACACGCCATGCTTTGTCATGCTACGTATTGATCTTCAACACCATGCTATGCCATGTAATGATATGTCATGCTACGTCATCCGACTGTGCGAGTAGACAGGAGATCTACGCCATGGTCAGGGATGGGAGGGAGGGATAGGACGTCAGATATGACGCGAGCGCCCCTAGCTTGCCCTCCTCCTCCTCCCCCTCCCCCTCCAAGCCGCTCTGGCTCACACCTTTGCGGCGCTGATTTTGCACGCGCGTGCCTCAGAGCGGCTCGTGCTTGCGAGCCCGTTGTTCCTTTCACGTCCGCCCCGCCCGCAACAGCCTGCGGGGCATGGGGCCACCGCTCGATGTCCTTCCAGGCGCCAGGACGCCTCTGTGATGCAATTGGGCATCGCGTGTACGGTGCCGTGCAGTCCAGCGCCGGCGCGCTAGTCTTTGGTCGGGCATGTTCCCCTACAGGCCGATTTTGGGCGAAATATCAAAAATATTCAAAACATGTTCAAACATAATTTGAATAAAACATTCAAAACATCGTCCGCATACTATGTTTTCGACTATTTTGAAATATTCCTGGTGTAGAGGGACAGGCCCGACTTAACGCCAGCCTAAGGTTGTCCAGCAACCTGTGCGGCGGCGGCGGCTGAGGGGCCCACGGGGACGGGGTACCTGGCACCATTGGGGGCGTGGGCGGAGGGGCCACCGACAGGAGGAGACGGACAGGCCAAGATCATCCAAGACCTGCAGCAGACCCAGACCCCCGACGTCGTGATTTGTTCACAACCTCAAGGCTGCCGCCGCAGCTGAGCCTGCGGTGCTGGGGGCAGCCACGAGGAAACACCTGGCAACAGCGGCAACCAGCGGGGTTCAGCGGGCCCGACGGCCGTCACCCGAACGCCACCGTCGGCACGGCTGACCTCCAGCACTCCTGGGACCACAACCCGGTGGACGCTGAGTGGGGGGCAGCAGTGGGCTTCGCGGTGCCGGCAGGCCGACCTGGGCGCATGATCGACTCGGAGCGGCTCAGAAGCCTGAGCGAGAGAGCAGCCAGCCCATCGAGCCAAGAGAGCCGACGAAAAGGGTTCTGACACAAGAGGGTGGAGTTCGGGGCCGTTGCCTGGGTAAACCTTGTCGACGGGTGCACTCACAGGTCCTGAGAAGCTCGAGACGCCCTGCCAGATAACGTCCACGCGAGGCGAGCCCCTGGACCGACATGCGGTGCAATGGAGGCCAGTCCAGAAAGAAGCTGACCCGCAAGAAACCCAACCCTGAGACCCCAGGGCGTCCAAGATTCAGGAGGAGGAGGAAGAGGAGGAGGAGGACGAGGAGGAGGAGAAGGAGAATAATAATCTGTTTTTGTTTGCTGCCGTTGCGGGGCAATGAGCTCGGACGACAAGCTGACGGCATAGACTTCTGAAGGGTGCTGTGGCCGTGCGGGTACAGGCGCCCAGGACCAGTTGCGACAGAGTTGCAAAGGAGAACTCTCCCACTACAGAGCTGGGGTGAAGCACTTGCTGCTTTCCCGCCCACGCGGGGTGGCCAGCAGTCAGAGAGTGCATCCAAGTGCAGGATGACCAAGCGGCAGCCCCCTCCAGCGACTCTGTCCTGTCTCGTTCGGCTTGAAGGCGGGGATGGGGGAGGGGGTTGGTGGTCGGGACGAAGTGCTCAAAGCGTTCGGGCGGACGGTCGAGGACCGCCCACGAGTGCTCGCGATGGTTCGGCAAGCGATCCAGCAAGCTTCGGCCACCTCTGAGGACCTCGACTTAAAGGAGGCTTCGGACGAGGGTGGCTAATTTTTCCTTTCGACTGCCTCCAGGGCCAAACCAAGCCAAGCCAAGCCCCCTCCCCTTACCCCTGCCCCTCCTCCCCCTCCTCCTCCTCCTCCTCCTCCCTCCCTCCCTCCCTCCCTCCCTCCTCAGGGACGACACGAAGGCCTACTACGAGAAGGAGATATTCACCGCGGGAGTGACGGCAGTGAAGCTTGGCAGGTCGATCCCGTACTTCAGGTGCCAGATTCTCAAGCCTCAGAACGGCGAGACCGCCAAGGCGATCATCAGCATGTGCTTCCACAGGGACCAGAAGCTCGGGCACGACCTATCCTTGCTGCTCGAGGCGCTGGTGGAGTCGGAGGGGGGGATCTTCTTGTCGGGAGCGGCCCCTCGGGGCCCCTTGGAGCGCGAGATCGGCACGATGGTCGGCTCCGAGAAGAAGTAGGCAGCAAGCCCCCGGGAGACCCTCCCAGAGAAGCAGTAGCTAGCCAGCCCTCGTCGGGACCTCTTTCTGAAGCAGGTATTTCGTCTTATTCGAATAGGACGAAACTAGGTAGTGACAGCACAACTCAGCAGCAGCAACCAAGCCAGCAGCCCCCTGTCGGGGCTATGCGCACTTGTTTTTTCAACCCCTCCAGGGCCTCCAGGGCTCAGGAAGCTTTTTCGGGAAGCGAGCGATTTCGGGAGTTAGTTGCTAGAGGTTCAATTTCACCTGAGGTGCTTAATACGCCCACTCAGCTCTGTACCTATGCCGCTGCCTCCTCTCTTCCAGGCCCGCTGCCCCAGACCCCAATTATATATGCCCCTAGAGCTAAAGGTAAAGCGGGCTCCAAAGGCAAGGGGAAACGGTGGAGCTCTGGGCGTGGGAGGGCGGGCGGTGTGGACGGGACCCCCGTGCCTTCGGAGCCTGCCCCCTAGGGCTGCGTGCCCGTCCATAGGGGTGCAGGTAGGGCCAGTGCCGCTTCCAGCGGAGCGCGCTGGTTGAATCCGCTACGATGTCTGGGGGGTGCAGAAGCGACCCGACTCAGAGTTCTTCTCTCTGGATTGTAA